CTATATGATGAGCAAAGAAAGAGGTACTGCAGAAGCCAGTGATATGATTTGTACTTCCCCAGGGACAGGGAGAGCCTCACTCCCAGCACCTTGGAAGAAGCAGGTGGGATGTGTGGGCAGGAGGGATGCTGGGTCTGGAAGAGAGAGTTAGTGTCACAGAAACATGAAAGGGTGGTTTGTGTTTGTTCTCACCATAGAACAAACAATAACCTGGACCGGTTAGAGAACAGATGGTTTCAAACTAAAAAGAAATTAGACCATCTGGGAGAAGGACTTCACAAAACAGCTGGTCAGAAACACGAAGGCACATGTGTAAGCCAATACATACCAAAGTACCAAAGACATCCAGACTCCTGAACTCTGCAATAGGACTGTGATGTTTCTCAAAAAGGACAGAAGGGACCTTCAGGCACATCAGTCCAAAATTTCCATATGGACTGCTCAGTGACTGCCTAACCTTGGAGGCAGACAGACAGACTCAGGCCCTTCCTGTTTTTACCTATAATTTCATGATTCTACTAATTCTACCGAGCATGCCCAGACTTCCCATGGTCTGCACAGCACGGCACCTGCCTCTTGGCCAAGCTCCACTCACTCAGAGGACCTGTGGCAGCAAAATCACAGTAGCTTTACCCCAAGTGACTTCAGTAATAGCAGAGCTCGAGCAGCATGTGCACTTCCACGCAGCCGGCACAAGCCAGAGGGAGAGGCTGTGCACAAACCAGCAGGGTGGGCAGCAGCGAATATTAAAAGGTCCCGGTGCCTGGGAGGGCAGACGAGGAGGCTGTTATAAATGTGGAAGCTAGCTTTTGTTGAAATCAGGCCTTGAAAAAGTGTCTATCTACTCTGAACAACCTCTTGCCTTCTCAGATCCCTTCATCAACAGGCGAAGGGCCAATGACTTCATACAAGCTGACACAAGACTAGAAGCCATCTCTCGGGAGAGGTATGTTAAAGCTTCAGGTCAGTGAGGATGGAAGTGGGCAGACGTCTCTCCTTGCCAGGCACAGGCTGGCACCAGCAGAGGAGGTGACTTCTGAGAAGCCTTAGCCCCTCTCTTAGTGTGAGGTGCCCGTGAAGTCCCCAACCCTGGCAGAAGGCAGAACTCAGACAGCAGAGAGCGAGTCCTTGCGTTTGAGGACTTGTCATGTGCTGGGAGGGCTCTGCTTCATCTGCCTGAAGGAAATACCAACAGAAGGAGAAGGAATCAGTGTGGGATGGTCAGAAAGGAGGCTCAGTTTGAGGTCTTGTTCTAGTCCTCAGCTTGCAAGCAGAATTTGCATGACCTTTTCTTAATCACAGGGCCATCTGGGGGCCTCTTTGCCTCAAAAAGCAGGTATAGGCAGTTTCATGCCTTATGAAGGGCTTGTGAAAATAAAGGCTGAAGCACAGAAATCATCTCCTAGCAAAGCGTCAAGGCAAACCTTCTCCGCAATACCAGGTGGCCCCTTTGCAGGGTGTTTCAGGTCTTCCACGCGTGGCTTTGGGGAAGAGCAGAAGAGCTGAAGGCAGCAGGCTGCGGGGGCTGCTGGAAGGAGGACTCTTCCTCAGGTGGAGGCAGGAGTCATCCCCTTCTCCCCACCGCCCTACTTAGCCATGAAATAAAAAGTTACCTGGGGAGGCAAAACGCTCCTGTTGTAGTCACATCGCTCCCCTGGGTGCGGCGAACACAGAAGCTGGTATGCTAACATCTTGATAGCTGGATGATGGCATCTGGTGGCGGACCCTTAATCCTGGTGGGGAACTGCGGGGCAGGAAAGGGCTGCAGACAGATATTTAAGATGACAGCACTTACCATTCATCTCTCCCACTTTTGCAGGATCAGGGAGCGTAATAAGGGGCCCCAGGAACGTCAGAGGGAGATCTGCGAGGACTACTACCCCTGCGAACTGTATGCTTTTCGCCATGGCTATCCTGCTGCTTACAGGCACTATTTTGGGAGGAGGAGAACTAAGTAAAGGATGACTTGTCCCCACCCTGGGGCCTGGAGCCCAGGATATCCTCCCCAAAAAAGTGCGATGGCTCTGAAACATATTCAGTTGCTTGTGTCCCTGTATGTTATCCTGCCTGCTGCTTCTCTCCCATGTAGCCATGGATTCCTACACTGTGTTAGTTAGTGCCGAGCTGATGTAGCAGAGATCAGAGAGAGTTCAGGATGTGGGTGTTTATTACACAATAAATTGCTGGTTTGATACTATCTTCTCATGAGTCACAGTATTTTGGGAGGGGGGTGTGTGCAATTTTCCCCGAAGAAGCTGAGTTTGTTTAGCATAGAATCTGGTGCAGATTTTGGAAAAAGTCACTACCTTGCAATCACATGAGTTTAAAAGGATCTGCAATGTTTTTGTTCCAGGTTCTACAGGTGGCTTCTTTTAGAGGTCACTGGCAAATTTCATTTCCCAGTCTTAAGACATTTTAAAATGGCGTCGTGTTCAGAAAGCAGGGTGAGATGCACTTTTTGAAAATGAAATCAATAATATCTTTCCTCAGTGGGAGAAGCAAAATTCAGAAGGCGCCTGTTTAATCTTAAAAACAAAGTTAGGGCAAGAGTTAGTGACAGAAAAAGCCTGTAAGTTGCATCTTGTCTATCCAGCTGCCCTCAGGTCCTGAGGTAGGATGCTCCCGTATAAAGAAGTGTGTGATCTGGATTTTACTTGTATTTCCTTTTGGAATCCCCTTTCATGCCCTTGCTTCCACTTAGAATGATTCTGGTAGTGCTAGAAAGCTGCAGAAATCAAAGGTGAAGAGGGGCTCCAGGTGGTAAATAAAAAAATAAAAGAAACCCAGTGTTTGGGGTTAAGCCCAACGTTGTTCACCTAGAACAATTTTATTTTAGTGTTCATAACTCATTCGAAATCAAGTTGCGGCCTGACCCCATGCCCAGATTGCTGAGTACTGCACACCCCATTGAGGAGCGAGCGTGACCGCTGTTGGGTTGTCACCAGCACTAAGGCCCCTCGCAGAGCCTGTCCCCAGGCCAAGAAGCACCAGTGCTGACATGCCCAAGAATTCAATACTGCTCCGGGCTGGTCAGCAGCCACAGCAGCTTGGACACCCCTTGGTGTGGGGCGTGTAGGAGACATAACATCTTCTACCTCAACTCAGCACAACTGGTTTCAGTATTCACATCTCCAGGCTTCCACAGGCAGGTTATAGAAGTGGGAAAGATTCATGGCACATTATCAAAGGCTATGAGGTATAAATTATCAGATTGTTGACTATAATGTGAAATTAAGTCCAGAGACAAATCTACCTGCAACATTAGAAACATGCATCTTCTTGCAAAATATGCTTCAAGGCTTCGCCAGCTTTGAAGATGAACTTCTGGAAAGAAATGTGATTTATTTATCGAAAACAATTCTGATAGGAAACTCCACCCTGACAGCTGCTAAAGTTTTGTCCAAAGGAAACAGTGAGAGATAAATGAGTTTAAGGAAAAAAAGCCATACATTTGCATTCACACTTGTTCTGCGTGTTCCCAAGTAAGTGAATCTTATGATCATGAACCAGGGAAAATCTTTCATACCCTAAAGTCAACAAGTCTGCAGTGTCTGGGTTTGACGTGACACTGTGACACTACCAAACTGGAAGGCACAGAGCTAGCGCTGTCTGAATGTGTGTCCAGAAATATCTGGTGATTCCAGCCTCTGGTTTACCAATATAAATAATGGATAATACCAGAGATCTCTGTGGGTTTTCGTTAGTGTAAGCAATATCCAAACATTTTTAAGAGACTACATGCTGGTTAGAAATCTTGGGAAAAGTTGGGAAGAGAAGCAAAGCTGTGTGGATTACTAGAATTGTATATTTATATTATTTCAAGTTTTCCTTTGGAAGCAAAACTTTCCTAGAATACCTATTATTTTTAGATATTTATTTATTTTTAAAATGTTGCTCTTCAACTACTTCTGCTGGAAGTTGTTAGTACATATATTCAATCTTTCCTGACGTGTAGAAGAGTTAAACTTTTTTTTTTTTTTTAAATCCTGAAATTGCTTTAAGCGAAAAGAAAGTGTTTCTAGGGATTGGCACAATCCCTAATGGCTCTGCCCTTGAGAGCTTTTTAGGCTTTAATTCTGCAACCTTTGGATGTCTCCCACACATGTGGAGCCGAGGAGGACTGGATATGAGGTGGAGGAAAATGTGATCCATGTGCTGTGTTTGGGACATGGCTTTGGAAACTTGGCTGGTGGGTTTGGGGAATGTGGGGAGATAGGCTGTAGAAGAGCCCATGCAGGGCTCTTGACATACCAAGCAACCACAACCACTCAAGTCCTGAAGAATAAAACACTTTTGGAGTTTCAAGGTTTATTTGATATTTAGACAAGAGAAACCAAACTAATAGCCTCCACACTAGGAAGATTTCTAGGAAGAAAAAAGAAAGACCCTCCCCCAAAGTAACTACCAAAGATCCCAACAGTATAAAAATCTCAGCTCTCTGAAGTGATTTGGTGAAACTGTCTGAAGCAAAAGTCTCCTGTGTGTTTGCACTATGCAAACTGTTTCATGGGTTTCTCTACCTTCAGAGACATGGGTCAGGGTGGGGTGGGTGAAAAATTTCAGCATTGGGTTCAGTCTCATTTGATTTTCCACATGCGATAGCTCTGTCACACGAAAGGAGCTGCTTTACTTCGGGGTGTGCCGGTCTCTCCCCTGGCTTTCTGGCAAGACGCTGAATGACTTTCATGTTTATAATAAAACTGATTTTTTTTTTAATCCAGTTGTTTTTCTTCAACAGCCCCATTCAAAACCTCAGATAAAATCTTCTGGAAATGACATGAGTCCTGAGATGGATGTCAAAATGACTGCCAGGACCCGCTATCTCCTGTTCCAAAGGACGGGCTTTGTTTTGGAGCTCAGACGCAGGAACACAAGCCAGAGCCCTGATCTCTCCAGGCGATCACAGGATATAAACTGCTGCCCGAAAGCAAGCTCCGGAGAACTTCGGTAACCTCCAGGAAAGCTCTGAGGTTAGGGAGACTGGCGCAGCCAAAGAGGACATGAGGAGTCTGTTGGCACCGCTGGTCGTGACTCTGGCCCTGGCAGCGCTCTGCTGTTGTGAGAAAGGTAAGGGGACGTCTATGCCGGGAAGGCTCCCGGGAGCGCTGCTCGAGCCGTCAGCCTCCCGCCAGCCTCCCGTCAGCCTGGGAGAGACGCGCAGCTTTGCGGGGAGGAGGGTGCACTGCCAGCCATTGCACAACTTCAGATCTCTGTCCGAGAGACAAAGTCACGGATGAGCGAGGACTTGGGGGTAGAGATCCTCGTCTCTTGCTGGGCACTTTCTCCCGCTGGTCAATGCCCCCCCCGCCCCCACCATTGCACCGTTGAATTGCAGCAGAGAATTCAGACATTTTAATATGTTTAAGCATTAAACCAGTTTAGCATTTAGGTGAACTGGCAAAGATATGCTGGATGCTCACTTTTGAGTGAGAGGGTTGAGCTGCAGGCAGATTTGTGTCGATCACAGGGAGAGGGGTTTTGTGGCCGCCAGCCCCGGAGTGCTGCAGCATCGCAGAGACAGGCACGGAGTCAAGCCTCCCCTGCAAGGAATGTGGGATGTGGAGAGCTTCTGGAGGAAAAAAAGCCTCCTATTGGTGGCTAAAAAAAAGGGAGTTGTCCCACTGAAGTGAGACAACATCACATCTGAAGGTAATTTAGTGATGGTGACTTCATGATGAAGAAATAGTAATGTAGTGGCAGCTCTATAGTTGATGAAGAGAGAGAGAAGGGGGAAAAGATCAGAAAAACAAGTGTTTTCCCTTTACAACAGGAAAATAGAAGCTGAGCAGGAGAGAGCTCTGTCTTTTCCTGTATTATCTCATTCAGAGTTAAATTTTTTTCAGTCCTTGGCATCAGCTATGTCATGATTCAATATTGGCAAATACATTTTGTTTGATCAACGTTTTCCTTCTGCCAGTCTTTTTCTCACTTTTTCACTCTTCAGTATATATCTGCTTTTTTTAGTCATTAGTATGTTCCAAAATGCTTAATGGCCTTGGAGCAACTTCTAATTATTTTTTAAAATCCAAGGAATGTATACATTGCTTAAAAATAAAACTACACACAACGCTTTTAACACAAAGTTTTTGTTTAAGCACAGTTGTTATTTTTTTGGTGTCTAGAGTCCACTTATGCCAAATACCTGGTGGCTTGGGTAGAACTGACACCTTTGAAAAAAAGTATGGTGAAATAGCGGAAGAAAAAAATTGTGAAATAGGGCAGTGTGTGAGAGCCAAGATTAGGAGACCTTCCGTTTCTTTTAGATGAAGCTTTCCTTGGGCGTTTGCAGGGAGAATTAAGGATTAAGATTATGACTGAACACAGAAATACAGTGTGCAAATTCCTCTTGGTAGGGCTGGTGAGCCAGGTACCTCAACCCTGAGATGCAAAGCTGCGAGGACAGATGTCTTCCTAATTTTTAGCCCTATTTCTCTTCCCTATCAATGGCTTGTGATTTCCCCCTAGAGTTAAGGAAACCTCTCTTTCCAAAGAAGGGGGAGATGCTCAGCTATCTTCAGGTTGTGTCCAAATTTGGGATTTGGTTCAAATGGTCCCCTGGCTCTAGCTGTCCCTGCTCTTAGCAAGGGTGAGAAAGGAGAAGGAGGAAGGTCTTCCTCCAGCTTCCAGAGTGGTTATTTAGTCTGGCTCAGAGGAAGTTGAAATTAAACAAATCCAGGCCTAATGGTTGAATTTTGCTGTGGTGGAGAAGTCTCTCTCTAAACGGTGGGTGTTAATAAAACCGTTTTTGGGAGGAACAGACCTTCTGGGAAAGTGGGGAGAGCTGGACCCAGCCAGTAGGCAGAGGGATTCAGTTACAGAAGAGAGCAGAGGAGGAGGACTCTCAAGCAAACTCCTTTCTGTCTGTCTTCCAGACCCCAAAGACCCTGCAGGATCATCCAGCGCTGCCAGTGAGTATACGGTTGTGACCAACGCTCAGCTCCATTCTCCTGCATCTACTTCCCTTTGATTAGTTCAAGGGATGAACAAGAACCATGCTGAGTCCTTCTAGCTTCTCCTTTTTTGCTCCCTCAGCAGTTCAGTCCCTGAGGTGCAGGAGCACCTGCAGCAAACAGAGGGGCTGCCTTTCACGGCCATGGGGGCAGGAGACACGAGGGAGGTCAGCCTCCCTGCACCAGCAGCCTAGCATCGCTCCAGGTGTGCTAGTGCCATCTCCACAACCCTTGAGAAGCCCCCAGGCAAGACATGAGTCCTGCAGGTTTTTAGCAGTGGGATGCATCTCCCCTCTGTGAAACAGGTTGATGTGGGTGAAGCAACACGGCCAGTGCCCCGGCTTCTCTGAGCTGGCCTCAGGCACCTATTCCAAAGCGACTGCTGTGTCCCCAGACTGTTAAGAGAGCAGAATCTGTCCCAGGGCCTCCAGGCACTGGTCTTTTGGATCAGCTGAGCAGCCAGTCTGGTGCGCAGGATGACAGAGCAGAAAGATTTGGTGCCACATGGCAACAGGCTGTGACATCCCTGCCAAATCCCACAAGATGGAGAGCCTGAAAGCAAGCACCTGCCTTAGCTACTACCAAGAGCTGCCAGTCCCTCTTCTGTCAGGGAAGAACCCCTGTCAGGTTGGCAGGACATGGGGATTTGTACATCTTGGGATGTCCAGAGGTTTTGCAGCAAGCTGATCCTGGCAGAAATCTGTATGGAAAATCCCCCTCGTTCTTCCCTGTCTCTCCTTTCTCACATCTTAAAGGGTAACATTGCTGCTGGGGAGCATGGAAGCTGGTATTTCTCCAGTGAGCCAATACGAACACAGATTGGGAAAGAGAAAAAAAGAATGCAAAGAGTGTTCAGAGAAAGGTGGTGATTTCTCGCAGCCCATTGATTAGCAGTTTTTATGTAGTTGGTATTTTGATCCAGACTAAACCCAAGCTTGCTTGAGAGGAGGCACCTGCCAAACAGAAACATGATCAAACACCCCACAATGATGAGGAAAGGGCACAAAACCCGCTGTCTCCCCACAGGCAGAGGTCTTAGAAACTGCTTTGCCCCAGTGACAGTGACAGTTTGCCAGGTCCTCTGCAGAAAGATGTAATGGTGTGCCAGCATCTGTGCTGACGTGGGTCCATCCCATGGAGAGAAGCTGGGCTGTGCTGAGCCCTGGCTGAGAGCGGGGCGCAAAGTGGCTCTACCTGGTGTTTGTGGGGTGTTCCGCAGCACGCCGGTGTTCGCACAACCGCAAATCCAAGGGGGCAAATAAGCAACTGCACTGACACGGTGCGTTAGTGGAGACCGGGAGCCAAGGCTGTCATGGCAGAAAGACCTCTCACGTTCCCCAAGTCCTGAACACCCAGATCTTTGCACCTCTTGGGTGTATTTCTCCCTGGGTTATGTTTACCGTCATTATTCTACACCCTTCACCTCTCATGGAACTCTGCACATGTGAGCATTGGTATTTCCATGTGCTGCCTCTTGCTTATGGCTCATAAGAGGCATTTTTAAGGCCTGGTGGCTGGTATCCCGCATCGCTTTTAGTCTGAGTTAAAATACAGAAAGGAAGCTAAGACTCTGAAGTGAAGTGGGCTAGGGAGAAATGGTGCCATTCCCTTAATTTTCTCCTTATTCATGCATTATACTGTCATGACTTTGCTTTCTGCACATATGCTGTGGACTCGGACCATGTTGTGTGACAAGGGAATTGAGTTTATGACAGAAAAGGCCTTTGTTCCATGTAGATGTGCAGGTTGGAGTGAGGAGGGAGCCCAGCTGTTGGGCTTTGAGTGGACAGTGGGGTGGGGAGGGATGAACGGACCATTAGGATGGTTTGTGGCAGTTATCTGCTTGTGAAGAGAGTAGACTGTTCATTTTCAGAGGTTACATTGGTCTCTGTTTTCCATAGACCGTGGCCCTGCATCTCTAACCTGCTGTGTTCTCTCTCGGTAGGCATCAAGATTAAAAAGGAAGTTGCCAATGCCTTTGTGAAGAGGCAGAAGAGGTCCAGCCTGTATGAACGGTAACAACTCATGAGTCAGGCTGAGAGTTGGACTCTGAACCTGTTCTGAAGAGTGGGTGGGAAGGCAAGAGGACATGGCAAAGCATTAATTTGCTGTACATCTATGTTATTACCTTTATGTGGTGAAGCAAAAAGGCTGTAGGAGACACTTATTGATAGATAAATGGTTCTTTTTTCATAAGCAGTCTATTAAGAGATCATAGTTGGACTCTCATATTCCTCCCCGGGAGAAAGACAGTGCTAGCTGTCTGGGCTAGCCATAACAACAGCAGGATAGAAGTTAGAAGCTGCTCTAACCTGCAGGGTCAGAGCCAGTTTTCAGGATAATGAGCATCACAGAGCTTTGGTCCTTGCCTCTGGCTCCCTACAAAGGAAACACAGCTCTGTTGCAGGGATGAGGCTGGATCAGATAGCTGTTCTTTCTGAAGCTGTAGGTCCTACATACATTTGTGCAGAAAACCTAGGCACAAAGATTTGGAGAAATTCTAGATATAAATTTTGGAAACATTTGAGGTCATGCAAGAATGTTCTTCATTAATTTCCTGGAACATGTTGTTAAGCCACGGTCTCATGTAGGCCTGTGCAAAAAGAATTTTTATTCAATCCATCTTTGCACTAGAAGGACAATGTTGTTTTTAGATAATAGAAGATTGGGAAGCCCCATATGTAGAGGAGGAGATCAGAGTATTGTAGCAGAGGAACTGGCTGATGTTGAAACCTGCAGTGATTAAAAACAAGATGAAAATCAGTAGCAGCAACTGTATTGTCTGTATTGACTACCCCCTTATAGGTGGGTTGTTGTAAAAGTAGCTTCTGCTATAAGCATTAATCAGGAAGGACTGAGGTAGACAGACATCCTGGTGTATTATTTGATCATGAGGTAAGGTTAGTCTGGAAATATGGATGCAACAAATGGAATTCAAGGGGTATTTCCAACAGAGAAATAAAATAACAATTTGTGAGATACTGGTGGGTATCCTATAGCGGTGCGTACATTCTTCAAGGAAGATTAACCAAACCTAGCAGAGGAGTTGAGAAAGGCATCCAGAGTGTTTAGCTGAGACTAAAAGTTCTGGGCTTGCTTAGCCTGCCAAAACAAAAGCTGAATGGTAATAGTATTGCTGTCAACAACAGCAGTGAGGATGATGAGAAGAAACTGCTTAAGCTAAAGGAAAATAGTGACTAGTGGGAAAGTGAGCAGAAACTGGGTGCAAATAAAGATAAGCAGGAAATAATAAAATAAATATATAATAAAATAAATAATAATAAGGAAAAAAAAAAAGATTCCTGGGTAGTTGGGAAATGGGGTTGGGGACAAAAAAAACCCCTAACTGCTTCTGTGGTGTCCTTTGCTGATAAAACCTCAAGAGCAATTGTTTTAAGTTAGGTTCAATTCCAGCTTTTCCCAGCATTAATTGAGTAGTCCATCCCTGTGTCAGTAGATGTTTAACTCATCATGACAATCCCCTGTTGGGGCACCCTGGGGAATCACTCTTCTCATGTCTGTGTCTGGGGTGTGAAACCTCTCCAACTGCATCGACTGAATCTGCAGAATGGCATCTCTCTCTCTGTCTACTCCAGGTACTTTGAGTATTACAAAAGTCCAATGGAGCAGATGCATGAGCGTTGTGAAAACTACCCCCCGTGTGACTATCTCTCTGACCAAATAGGATTTTACACAGCCTACAACCGTTTCTTTGGGAGATACTAAGGATGGGACGGTCACTTCATTCATTTTGCTTGGGACCAGTCTGAACCCCACAGGAGAAAGAAGATTGTGGGTGGGAAGGAGGGAAGAAAACCATCTAGACTAACAATTACCCCACTTGTTGAGCTTTCATTAGCTTTATTCCTTTCATCGGAAATGTTTCTCTTCAGTCATCTTTTGTGGTATTTTGAGCTGAAATGATTGAGAAGAGTCTGTCTTACCTCCTTCTATGTGAATCCCCATGACACAGTAGGTGAAAAAAATGTGATTCCTTTCAAGAAAAACAATGCACGACTTAGAAACATAGTAAGACCTTTTGTCCTCTTCTACAAAATGCAGGAGGATTATAGGATAATGTCACAACACATGTAAATGTGATGGATCTGATCCTCGGATACTCACTGGGAAGAAGGTGGAACAGCTGCGTCCTGGTACAATGACTGGGGAAGTTCAGTATTTTCAGGTTGAAAAATCACTCTAAATATGTGCCAATGTAGGGCATTTTTGTAAGGATAGAAGTGTGGAAATACTACCACATAGCCAAAAATCCAGCTCTGGTACACTCTTCTGGTTATTCTGTCACAAAATTTGCCTGTATACCAGTAACATATAAATCCCCAAGGGTGTGTTCGAGGAGTCCTTAAAGGGATGGGCCCTTCCATTGAATAGTGCATTCAGCGACTGTCTGTAAAAAGCAATTTGGAAATCTCTTGTTGTTTTTGTTACACCTCGTTTCTGGTGAAAGTGAATATATCCAAGCAGAACAAAACCCCAATCTGTTCCTCTGATGTTTTAGCAGTTATGCTTGAAACTAAAAGCTCCAAAAAAAGCAAACAAACAAACAAGAAGCAATAAACTTTGTGAAATAAACAAAAAGAAAATGGGTTCAAGGATCGATTGAAGTTGGGTCAGCATTTGGTTTATTCAAGTCAGCTTGTATTTCTCTGAGATATATATATAAAAAATAAAAATACATGTGTATTTGTATACATATCCTCCTTCTTCTGCACTACTTCATTCTGCCCCCCGTATGAATATTATACCTTAGCAACTTTCTGCACAGCCTCCCTTAACGTGCTCTGTCAGCTTTCCTTCCCTGAGAGGTAGATGGCAGATCCCATCTCCAAGGTCAGGGACTGCTGAGCCTCCGGAGGCTGAGGAAGACTGAATCTCTCTGTGTGTAGGCTGGTGCAGCCATTCCCAGCTGCTAATTGCAATAAATACTGCTTATGTAAAGCAGGTTGGTGTGCTGCTTCTCTCTGTTCCCCTGTACAGCCTTTATCTGCAGTTAAAGAGATGCCTGGAAGGTAAAGCCTGCTCCTATGAACCCCAAGTAGCAGGATCCAGGTGTGTGAGGCTTCTTTCTCCCCTCCTGTGCCCCAATGTGTGAATCAGAAGTGACTACACTGACATTCAGGTCATGATCCCAGTACACCATGACAGTGAGGGAGAAGAGGGCCAGGCTTTTCCTGATTCACCGACTACCGAGCTCAGTATTTCTCTGAAAGACCTTGCCCTGAAGTAATGAAATGGAGCAAGTCCACGGAGATGGCTGCCAGTGTGAGTGTGAGCATCTCTTATTTGGCAAGCTGCTGTGACTTGCACCAGCTATGCTGACCTGGGCCAAGGAGAAGACAGTTAATAAGTAACTCTGCTCATCTTGGTCAAACACCTGGGACTCGTTCCCCCGTTGGCATAAACTGATGGGACTTCAAAAAACCCCCCAAAAAAAAAAAAAAAAAAAAAAAAAAAAAAAAGCCGTCTAGTAAAAATGAACAAAGTACTCACTGAAAGTTGTGAAGGTTTCCTGGGAAAAAGAGATTAGTGAAATCTGCTGTACAAACGAATTAGGGTTTTGCTGTTGTATGGTTTTATTTGCTAAAAAAGAAACTCAAGCTTCCCGTCCGTATTTTCACCTGATCAAGGCATAATTAAGTACCATTCTAAATCCTCTGCTGCCATCTTATGGCCATTATATTTATCGCCATACAATAAATAGCACATTACGTTGTATTAGAAGCGTTTGAAAAGGCAAATTTAGTGGGCTCTCTTCCTCATTCACTTCATACTGCAGCATACACTAAGAGGCCAGAAGGGAAAAATAGGGACATAATCTGCAACTGGATTATATACAGTTGAATTGACATTCTAGTGGGGCTGTTTATCCTGATTGTCAAGTTCCTGCTGGAGTCTGCCACAGTTTAGCTCCTTTTTATCTCTACATGAATAGAAGAGGAGATGTCTCTGAATAAATTCACAACAACTTCTCTGGACTCACTTTTAGCCATCAAAATACAATCCAAGATCATAGAGCAATTCCAAGAAGGAGAAGTAGATAGACTGCATTTATCACTTTGCAACATCCTTCATGTCATCATCTCGTATCACCAGTGGCTGCAGATACTGTCAGCAGCATCAGCTTGGTGCAGTCTTATAGATCACTTTGAAAGGAACTCAGTATGAGACCTTTATGTCATCTCCCACCCTATGTCAGCGATATTCAACAAATGCTTTCTGTCCACAGAATCTAAGCAGCTGCACAAAGGTCTCTTCCCAGGGAATCACACCATGATTGTAAATGCCTCCCTCATCCAGACGATCACTAACAGGCAATGGAAAATGGACTTCACTTCTCTGTAGTCAGAACCAGGCACTGACACCTCTTCTTTGCTCTTTTTCCATGCAGAAAACTTGTCAGAGGCCATGAGGCTTCACAGGCGAGTAACTCACTGCCCTTTACTGGGAAGGAGGACCAGAAAGCAGCTGATAGAAAGGGGTTAATCTCAGTATAGAATCTGTATTTACACGCTCATTCTGAGTGTTTTTAATGTAGACGGTTCTACAAGGTGCCACTCTGCAGTGGTGTATGGGTAGGATTGACAGCACGTTATTAGAAACCAGCAGGGGCTAAGGAGAGGGACAGCTATGTTATCTCTGCTTCCAGATGGGATCCCAAACTACCCAGCATTTCTGTGTTGGCTTTATCAGAGCTCTGCACTTCTTTAAAAGGGCTTTTGAAGCTCTTGGCCAAGGACAGTGCTCTCCACCTCATCCTGACATATCACTCCTCAGGAAAGAACAGCCTTAAGACTTCTCCAAGCTGAAGTTTTCTTCCTTTTTGCAAGAACAAGAACACCAGATACCTTGGAATTAAGAGAATTATCAAGGTGAAGGACACTTACACCAGCTGGAGTTGGTGCAACCAAACCTTCCGTATGGATTGTGGGCACACTTCTACCAGTAAAATGTCTGTTTGGTTTGATTAATGACATCTGAATTGCAGTAAGAATCTGGTGACTCTTTGGTTGAAGAATTGTTCCCAAAACCTGAGTGCAAATTACAACCAGCAGAATTTTCCAGTTCAAGGAAAAAAGGGAAAGAAGCAGATGCAAATGACCTCTACTTGACCTCAATGTTCTTTACAGTGTCTTGGGTGGACTCTAGAATGCCAGTGCTGCTGGCCAGCCTTCTGTTGGTGATCTTCTTGCAAAGGCTGGTAAGAGGGGGTAAATATTGTTCTTTATTTGAAATGGTGAAATTGCTCATTCCACTGAAATATCCCCCTTTTTTTCTTCATTTGAAACATGTTCTTTAAAGATTTTTGGGTTCAGCTTAAACTCTTCTGTTTTCAATGACTCTGTTGCATTTGTTACCTGTCCTAATTCCTAAAAGGCTACTTTTCCAACTACTTAGTTGGAAATTTCCTCTCTTTTGGAGACATATGGTTTCCTAGGTTGTGTCTGTGAGTAGATCTCATGTTCCTCTCCTTTTCCAGCCTGTCTCAGACGAGGGTCTGATAAAAAGCAGTGTGTTATTGGATGGGACACTGACAACATTGCTCTATTGCTTGTGACTGCCTTTTAGCTTTCCTTTAAAGCAGTTATGGTATCATGGAGAAATACACTGAATCCCTGTATAATTTATGGGCCAGTATAACTTCAGAGGCTAAGAAAGGTATCGATCTGGTTATATGTCTAGGATATTTGAGACGAAGTTAATATCTACTTGTAGAAGTCAACTGTCAACTGACTACAGTACTTGACTAGTCTACTAGGAGATCAAAAAGCAAAAAGAACAATGTCATAACTCACACCATTTCTTAGGTCTTATTACAAAAGGTTTTAATTAATTAGAAATCCTAGAAACAGATAACTAGTGTGCCATTTCATAGACAACATATATTAGACGTTATTTTCCTGTTATGCCACACAGTTGTGTAAATCCTTACTCATGTTTAATGTTTATTTACATGACAGGTCCAGCTGGCCTCAGAGACAAACTGGATGAATAAAAGTTTTGGCACAGTGCTACTGTATTGTCCTTTACTGAACATCATGCACTGGCGCCAAAACATGTCCAAAAGGTATCACAACACAGGAAGAAGAAATTCACCCCTGAGATGTGTTCAGGCTGCACTACCCTGAGCACATTGTTTTGCTTATTCTTTCCCTCTTCAAAACCACTTACTAATCATAAGCAGAATATTGAAATAAATGGACCATGAGTTTGTCCTGCAGGCTCTATAACTTCGCCTTCTGAAGGGCAAACTCTCCTGAAGTTTTTAATGCCACTGATCCACGTGCAATAAGATTGCATCCTGGCTGGCCTTTGCCTGAAGTGGGGCTTGGACAACAACCTGAGGTTGCTCAGGAAGGGCTTGTCAAAGAAAGATGCCTACCTGCTGTTCTTGCTCTGCCTATAATGACAAAGAGGCAAGAAGAGCGTAGGGAAAAACCTGGCTTGCATCCATAGAGATACACAAAAAGTTCACACTTCTGATGCTAATATTCATTTGCTTTTATGTTGCAGGCTGTGTCACATCTCATGATGGATATGGCTCTACATTCCTTTGATGACCAGTATCTGGGGTGCAGAGAGCAGGTGATGGAAGAACTGGAGCGAGGAGACTATTTCCAAAAGGAAATAGCTGCTAACAAGGACTATTTGAGTCTCTGGAAGAAGGCTCAGGAGGCTTTGTTAAAGAGCCCTGTAGGTCTCCTGAG